GTTCCAGATTCAGTCCTCCACAAGACTGCCTCCAGTTCAGATACCACCTGCATTCTCACCAACTGCTGCAGATCTGGGAGTTTCCCATTATGACCTTTGGGTTTGGTAATTTGCCAGTATAGTTCAGGAAAGCACTACACACAGTTATACAACAAAGCATACAGCCAAATAAAGGGACAGGTAGGGTGAGGTATGGGAGGGTCCAAATGCTCTCTCCCCATGTAATCGGGGCCTGCTACCCTATTGGCACATCAATGTAGTCGCCAATCAGGAAGCCCCGTTGAGTTTCATTATCCTGAGTTTTTACTGGGGTCTCATTAATTACACCTGATTGATTAAATCATTGCCATGTGACTGGACTCCATCCCCAGGACCTCTCCCCTCCATGGAGGTCAACTTGGCATGAAATTCCAACCTTCTAATCACAAGGTTGATTTTTGTGGTGACCAGCCCCCATCCTGAAACTATCTAGGCGCCTGCCATGTGTTACCTCCTTAGCAAAAACTCGGGTGTCTTCTAAGGGGTTCATGAATAACAGAAACATCCATCACTTGGGAAATTACAAATATTTTTAAAGCCCTGCCATGTGGGATGAAGATGAAATCTTTATTACACAACAGTAGGTCATTGGGTTACCCAAACTGAACTGATGGACTCAACCCTGTTGCATTTGCTGGAGCTATTGGGAAAGCTACGATCTTTTCCAGCTAGGGTTGTTAAACTGGTAAATTGTAAGCTTGGAGCCATTGGTAGCCATCTTGCTACCTATGAGGGGACAACCTGCCTGAGAATGAACACAATCCAGGGGAAAGCAAAGCTGAGAGACTGGGGCCATATTCAAATAGAGGTTGTTTGAGACTGTGTGCACCGATGAGATCCCCTTCTTTTCATATTTATTTATTTATTTTTTTATAGAGGCATGATTTATTTATTTGTTTGTTTATTTGTTTATACAAGCACTGGGTACAGTCAGAAGCGCGGGAGAGTGTGAGAATTCACCAGAGCCAGAGCGGGGAGCAGAGCAGGCAGAGGGACCGAAGTACACTGCTGAGGGGAGCAGCGGGCAGCAGGAGAGGTCTGTGCGCCATGTGGGACCCTCCTCCGGTGGCCGGGGAGCAGCCGGGGATCGAACCGGTGCTGCAGAGGCCGCGGGCAGCTTCGCAACCCAGCGTTCAACTGGGAAGGCCCTCTTTTCATATTTAAACTACATTAAATTGGGCTTTCTCTTACTTGTAGCTGAAGGCATCCTACTGCATCCCCGGTTCCTGAGGAAGAAGTGTTTCTCCCTTTCATATTAATACCTTGGTTTAACCTGGGTCCTGGCTTCTATCCTTCCCTCATTTCCCAACTTCACTCCTTCAATGACCATCCTCTCAACTGGTCCCTTGTCCTTTAGACTTCTGACATAATTAGGTCTCTCGCAGGATATAAACAAAACAAGCAAACCTTTCCACCCTCTCAAGCTACAACCAGCCCTATCTCTTTCCTTCTCTCTTTTTTTTTTTAATAGAGGCATGTTTTATTTATTTGTTTGTTTGTTTGTTTTTGTTTATACATGCACTGGGTACAGTCAGAAGCGCGGGAGGGTGAGAGAATTCACCAGAGCCAGAGCGGGGAGCAGAGCAGGCAGAAAGACCAAAGTACACTGCGGGTGGCAGGATAGGTCTGTGAGCCATGTGGGACCCTCCTCTGGTGACCGGGGAGCAGCCGGGGATTGAACCGGCGCCGCAGAGGCCCTGGGCAGCTTCGCAACCCAGCGCTCAACCGCTGTGCCATCGGGGAGGCCCTCTTTCCTTCTCTTTTTGGCCAAACTGTAGGACAGCTCTGTACATTCTTCCTCCTACTTTACCTTCTATTTTGTCTTCTGCACCCACCACTTCCTAAATTTATTCTCACCATAGTCACTCAGTCACTATAGTCATTAGTTTTTTCCATAGGAGACAATGGCAGTGCTGTGGATCCCTTTTTATAATTTATAATATGTCCAGTCCCACCCCATCCCACACACACTCCCAGCACCCTGGTCTTTGATGTGTGAGTTCTCATCCAACAGTTAGAACTTGAGAGTATTGAAAGCTTTGCCTTCAGTGCCTGGGAATTAAAGTAAATGGTTGAAGGACTGAAGAATGTTGTTCTATGAAATGCCTAGCTCCCTTGCTTCCAGGCAAATCTGAGATAAAAATTACATCTGGAGTACTCCTGCAGGATCAAGGTAAATTATTCTCTGCCTGAGATTACAAACTTGCTTGGTTTTCTCTGCTTCCCTTTCTCCCATTTCCTCACTGATTTCTCCTGTTAGAACTTAAAAAAAAAAAAAATCAGTAGCATACAAATCCTCATCTCAGGGTTGGATTCTGGGAAACCTTACCCAGACATCATTTCAGCACGTCCTATTCCTCTTTCTTGGTCTAGTGTTAAATTTGTTTGTTCCCTAGAATTAGGACCTGTGCTCTCTTCTCTCTACACATATTATATGGACAATCTCACTCATGTCCACGCATCAACCATTATTCATGTCTGATCCCCACTGAACTTAGTGCAACTCAGAGTGTGAATCATCTGCTGGACAGCTCCACTACTTGTCCATAGATACCTCCTATACTACTGTCTAATAAAGTGGTCACCAGGGCCTCCCTGGTAGCCCAAGGGGTTAAGCACAGCACTGTGAAGCTATCTGCAGCCTCTGCTGCACGAGTTCGATCCCTGGCTGTCCAGGGAGCTACCCAAATGGCGTAGCAGACCTCTGCTGTCTCACCCACAGCTCCCCTCAGCAGTGTTTTTCAGTCAGTCTGCTTGTTCTGTTCCCCACTCTGTCTCTGGTGAATCTTCTCACCTCCTGCACATCTGGCCTGTACCCCAGTTCTTGTATGCATAAATAAATTAAAAAAAAAAAAGTGGTCACCAGCCATATGTGGCTAATTTTAATGACGACTTCAGTTCCTTAGTCACACTAGCCATATTTCAAGTACTCAATGGCCACATGTGGCTAGTGGCTATAACATTTCAGGCATTTTATTGGACAGCTTAGACACATTTCCAAACTAACTCATCATTGGCCCTTTCTGTATTCCTCAACTGTCTGTCTACTAGAAAATGATAGGCTGACTACGAAGAAAAGGTTATCAGGGAAGAGGGGAATGACCATAGAAATAGAGTATTTTTCCACTGAGATCCTCCTCTGAACTGGAGAGATGGATGATACACTGTAGGGTAGGCAAAAGATATCAGGCTTTTCTGCCCTCCCGCCATTAGGATGGATGACGGAACCCTGCGGTCCTGAATGCATGACTGATGGCGGGCACCTGGAGTAGGGTGTGGGCATGCGTAGGTGGGTACACCTGAGCTAAGAGACTGGTTTATAAGGGTGGCGCAGCAGAGTGCGGTGTGGTGGTGGCGCGGTGTCGAGGGTGGAGGAGTGCAGTGGAGTATACGGAGGAGTACGGCGACTACAAACAACGGCGAAGAGCATGTGGCTGCTAGAACCGTTAATAAACCTACCCGGAATGGGTTGGTTGCACTACATACACCAAGATGGTGATGAAGACCTTAACAAAGGCCATCTGTGAACTGATGTGAGTTTGGTTAAGACAGGGATAGGGATGGAGGGTTAAGGCTGACTAGGCTAGAACTTGCCCTCACACAATGAATTTTTCCAACTCCATCTGGCAACCTCAGTCCAGAATATTCTTATGTGAATCAGGACATTTTATCTCCAATCTTTTGGGTCACTTGCCTCTGTGTTCCAGGATGACTACTTGACCCAAATTAGTTAATGTCAGTTCTGGAAATTCTACTGAAAATCTCAGAAAAGAGGTATATTCGTTTTACTAGAGGACTTGTTTGGAGCTATGAGGACTTGTTTGGAGCTATGAGAAGCTATCTTACCAGTATGAGAGGGCAGTGTGCCTGAGAGTAAAGTCAAATGAATGGGGAAAGCAAGGCCTGGTGACGAACCACAGGTTCCTGGAATTTTTTGGTCCTTTTATTCAGCTGTTTTGAAGAAGCTTGATAGACTCTGGATTTTTAACTTGCTTGAGCCAATAAATTCCCTTACTGCCTAGGCCAGTTGGAGCTGGGTCAATGAAAGACCGAATTGATAGAGGCTTTCATCACGCTCATTTCAAATACCCTCTTTACCGTAATGATTCTCAACGTCTGTATCGGCCTGGATGTCTCCCTTGAGCTTTAGACTGTAGGTCCACCGTCCTGATATTCCACACCCATCTACAACTGACCTCATTATTTCTACCTCCCGTATTTATTTCAGTGATGGAACCTCCAGTTCCTCCCCTCAAAGAGGCAATGATAGTAAGCTCGGGCTCCGCCTCCTTGAGGGGGGCCTCACCAAGGTCACCCGCGTCTTCCCTCGCCCCGCTCCTTGGGGGCGGTGTCTTCGCAAAGCGGCTGGGGCTGGGGGCCGGCGCTCTAGGCTGCAGCGGGCCCTTCAAAAAGCCTTCTCATCTCGCTGGTTGCCGGCAGCCGGTGGCTCCTCTAGCCGTCAACAAGAGCTCGGGACTCCGTCCCCTAAGGTGGCTTCTCTATGGTTGACTTCTCTCCTTTTTCCCGCATTTTTTCCAGGAATACGTCCAGCTGGGATGCAGCCTCTTCACAGGGCTGCTTCTACAGTCCCTTTTAGGTGCAACTGGAGAAGTCGCTGAGTCCTCGAGACTCACGCCCTCCCAGCTCTCGCAGGGTCTGCGCGGAGGAGGGTGGCGGAAGTGAGCGCGAAGGGGCCGCTCTCCCGCCCTTCTTCTCTATGGTCGCTTCCTTTGGTGACGGGAAATGGGGTCTCGGCGCGTGCGCAGAAGCGACCTGGGCGCTAGTCGTGGAGGGAGGGGGCAGGGAGCGGGAGCTGCCGCTGCCGCCGCCGGAGCTAACCGCGGGGACCGAGATGCAGGTGGGACCGGAACCGGAACCCCCCTCTTCAAGTACCTCTTCCCTCTCTGCGACCCGGCCCGGCGCCTGCGGGGGTCCCTGGGTGGGGGCGGGCGTGGGGCCCGAGGCAGGAGGGACGCCCGGCCCCCGAGAGTGCAGCCGACAGGGCTGATCCCGAGGAGGCTGCGGCCCGGGAGAATGGGCGGGTAGAGGGTGTCCAGGGAGGAGGGTCGGGTCGGAGTGGATGGACCAGCGGGCCGGGAGGGTCCGAGCCGGGAGCGGAGCCTGCACACTCCACCACCCGCCCTTCGGGAAATATCAGAACTGAGCCAAGAGGCAGGTGCACCGGGAAAATGTGTCTGAGTCCTGCCTGGCAGAAGAGAAACTGAGTCACCAGCTCAGGAGCCGCAGGGTCAGCGGGCCTGAAGGGGGCTGGGTCTGCCTGTGGTGCAGAGGGTTGGGTGGGCCGGCGTGAGCTGAGGTGGCCTCTGCCTGGAGATTGGTCTCTGCTGTGTCTGCACCTCTTGGCTCGGTTCCCCTGTGCTCCATGATTCTTGCACCTCCTGGTTTTTTCTCGTTGGCTTGGAGTGGTTCCCGTGATTGGAGCCATCTAAGTGTGTAGGGCTTAGGGCAGGAGGAGGGGGAGGAGTGGATGACTGTGGGTCTGAGCTGGAGTCTGAGGTCTTTGAGGATTTAGGACGATTTTCCTGAGCTGCCCTCACCCCAGTCCTGGAGCCAGTCATCTTCCAGTGTAATATGGGGAAAAGCTGTGGGCTAGCCACATGCCCAGCTCCTCCACCTTGGGAAGGCTTTCTCTGTTAGAAAATTGGAACCCGTGAAGATAGTAATAATGGCAGTCACTTATTGTGTGCTTACTTTGTGTCAAGTGCTGACGTGTTCCATTTAGTTCTCCCAACAATTCTATGGGTTAGGAATTGTTAACTTTGTTTTGTAGATGTGAAAACCGAAGCTCAGGAGGGACATATCATTTGTTCAAGATCACACTGCTAATAGGTGGCAGAGCTGGAAATTCTTCCCAAGTCTGACTCCAGAACCTATGGCCTTAACTACTGTACTAACCAGCCTTTAGGGCACACTCCCCAGCAAGAGAGGAGGGAGATGGTGATAAGTCCTAGGGTCCCAGCTCCCTGTTGTTGTTGTTTTTTACTTTGTGGCCATCAAAGACTTGCCCTGATCCAACCCACAGTCTTTCCTTATCTGATGCTGCTGTCTCTGGCCCCAGCCTGAAGGGCACCAAAGAAGTGGGCTGTGGCCATTCCAAGTGGCATTCCAAGAAGGCCATTCTCCTTCACACAGCACTTGGGTGCTAGATCCTGGGATCAGCTTTCAAGACAATTGCTGTTTTAATCCATCATTCATCCAACCTCCCTCCTCAGAGCTGGCCCTCAGGGTGCATGAGGCAGGATCTGTCAGCTCTGCAGGCCAAGCTCCCCTGAGGGCTCCCTGAGCCAGGCAGTGAGGGGCCAGTGGGACCATGACTGAGGCTGGTCCAGCCAGTCCCTGGGGACAAGGACTATGCAGTGGGAAAAACAGTAGACTTGGAGTTCTGAAAGTTTTCTGAGCTTCAGTCTTATCTGTTGTAGAGGTTACTAAGTCCTCTCACTTGGAAAGGTAAGAGCAGCACATGGAAAACACGTAAGGAGTCATTGTAGAGAAGCGAGGTGCAGTGAAAGAGATTCCTTTTTAGAGGAAGGTGCTCCACATTGCTCCTGGAACCAATGCCAGGGACAGTGGGCTGGGAAGCAGCAGGATAGCGCAGGCTAGACATGGGGAGCTGCTTGACTGGGGTGTGTGGGGTGTGAGGACCTGGGAGGGAGGCAGTTTGATGTCCTTCCCCGGGCTCTCTGAAGACTCTAGAGCAGAGAACGGAGTGTGGCTTGGGGTGGGGCTGAGCCCCCAGCGCCACCTCAGCAGTGACTCTGTATGTGCCTCTCTTCCTTCTGCAGCTGCTGCCGCTCACCCCGTGTCTTCTGGCCGCTTCCCTCTTTGCTGCCCCTCCCTATAGGCTCCCTCTCTCCACCTCCTGGGGACCATCATGAATGGTGCCCCTTCCCCAGAGGATGGGGCCTCCCCTTCCCCTCCCCCCTTGCCACCGCCCCCTCCTCCTAGTTGGCGGGAGTTCTGCGAGTCCCATGCCCGGGCTGCTGCCCTGGACTTTGCCCGCCGTTTTCGCCTCTACCTGGCCTCCCACCCCCAGTATGCAGGGCCAGGCGCTGAGGCCGCCTTTTCCCGCCGTTTTGCTGAGCTCTTCCTGCAGCACTTTGAAGCCGAGGTGGCCCGGGCCTCTGGCTCCCTCTCACCACCCATCCTGGCTCCCCTGAGTCCTGGTGTGGAGATCCCGCCACATGACCTGTCCCTTGAGAGCTGCAGGGTGGGCGGGCCCCTGGCTGTGCTGGGCCCTTCTCGATCATCTGAGGACCTGGCCGGCCCCCTCCCTTCCTCGGTCTCTTCCTCTTCTACGACCTCCTCGAAGCCGAAGCTAAAGAAACGCTTCTCCCTCCGTTCAGTGGGTCGCTCCGTCCGTGGTTCAGTCCGTGGCATCCTGCAGTGGCGGGGGGCTGTTGACCCTCCTTCCCCAGCTGGGCCCCTAGAGACCTCGACAGGCCCCCCAGTCTTAGGTGGAAACAGCAACTCCAACTCCTCTGGTGGGGCTGGGACCATTGGCAGGGGACTGGTTAGTGATGGAACCTCCCCCGGGGACAGATGGACTCACCGTTTTGAGAGGCTGAGACTCAGTCGGGGTGGGGGGACCTTGAAGGATGCAGCAGGGATGGTGCAGAGGGAAGAGCTGCTGAGTTTCATGGGGGCTGAAGAGGCAGCCCCTGACCCAGCTGGAGTGGGCCGGGGGGGAGGGGCAGCTGGGCCTACCTCAGGGGGAGGAGGGCAACCTCAGTGGCAGAAGTGTCGCTTGCTGCTTCGGAGTGAAGGAGAAGGAGGAGGAGGAAGTCGCCTGGAGTTCTTTGTACCACCCAAGGTGAGGTGGTGGGGGTGGGGAGCAAGTGACTGAGCCACCAGAGTGGTGGCTGGGCCCTGCAGATAGGCCGGGGGGCTTGCCCGCCCTTGCACATGGCTCTGTGTACTGTTTTTAAAGCTTACTCCCGGCTTTGGGTTAGTAGCTGTGGGCAAGGACTGAAAAAATAGTCATTTGCTTGAGTCTAACTAGGGTGTAGAAGAAGGATGGTTTCTGTGCACCAAATACCTGCCCTTCGCTCCCTCCCAACCTAGGCGTCCCGGCCGCGACTTAGCATCCCCTGCTCTACTATCACTGATGTGCGGACAGCCACGGCCCTGGAGATGCCTGACCGAGAGAACACATTTGTGGTTAAGGTAGGAGCCCTGGCCCCCTGCCCTCTTGGGGCACTTGTGTTGGGGAGAAAGCCGTTAGCAAACAAACAGGGGGCATTGGTGGAAGAAAGTGTAGGTGTCAGGTACCCTGAGAGTGTGTCCCTGAGGGCCACGGCTTTTCTGGGAGGAAGGAAGAGCAGGAGGATGCTCTGGTTGTTGGGGGAAGATGAAGGTCTCAGGACCCAGAAGTGGCCTTTGAACCTCCTCTTGCTCCTGTAGGTGGAAGGCCCTTCAGAATATATCCTGGAGACGGCTGACGCTCTACATGTAAAGGCCTGGGTGTCTGACATCCAAGAATGCCTGAGCCCAGGGTGAGGAACTTGACTTCTGGCTGTGAGAGATGCTGGGGGCGGGGATGGGGAGCAGCTTTGTGCCTCTCACCTGGTGACTTGCCTCCCAGCACCATTTTTCTGTTGTGCAGACCCTGCCCTGCTACCAGTCCTCGTCCTATGACCCTCCCTCTGGCCCCTGGGACCTCATTCCTTACAAGGGAGAACACAGACAACCTGGAGCCGCCTTGCCTCAATCACTCAGAGAGTCTGCCCAGCCAGGATCTGCTGCTGGGCCCCAGCGAGAGCAACGACCGTCTGTCACAGGGTAAGGGTGGCGCCTTTGTACAAGCCCAGCCTCTGTTAGGCCCAGGCCCTCTGTCCAGACTCCATTCCAGGGCACCCCAGTCCTGCTTCTCAGCTGCCTACTCCCACTTCCGTCCCCCAATGTTTTATCTTTTGTTCCTGAACATAGGAAGCCAGTTAGAACCATCAGATCACCACCACCATCATCTGAGTCCTAAGCAAACTCCTGTCCACCCGTCTGTGCCCAGCCTGACCCACTTTCCCATAAGTCTTATACAGGCCACCACTCTGGCTAGACATTTCTCCAAGCTTCCAGAACATTTTATAGATGTCTTTGTTTTGCTCTTAAACTGTGTCTGCCTGCATTTGTGCCAGTATTTCTCAGCTGACTAAACACATGCATGTCCAGCTCACCACATAAACTCGCAGCTCACATTACAGGACTCGACTACACCTTTTCTTCCTGATCCTCTGGTGCAGCTTCACAGTAATTCAGCTTCATAGCATGCAGGCTGTATTCAGTGAGTGAACAAATGAATTAGAGAATCTGAGCGCTAAAATGAACCTTATAAGTTCCAATCTCCTTGTTTCTCAGGCAGCTAAGACCTTGTGGTGGTAAAGGGGTGGAAATGACTTTTTTTGGGTCACCTGAGAGTCACTGACAAAGACGGGCTACGCCAGCCTGATAGCCGAGCGGCTGTTCTCTGTGCTTTCTTCTACTTAGCTCTGAGCACTGACCATACCTGTAGGCCTGGACTGCCAGTCAGCAGACACTCAGGAATACCCTCGCACATGCCTGGCCCTGCGTTGGGCAGGGTGGGGAACACAGAGATGCCTGAGATGAGCTCAGTGCCCTCCATGGGCTCACAAGACATCCAAGTGGAAAGAGGAACTCGGGCATAGAGGCCTTGGGGGCTCAGAGGGGTAGGACCCTGGTGGAGTCAGGCTAGACGGGGAGATGAGAGAAAAGAGTGTGGCTTGCACGAGCAGCCGTCAAGAACAGAGACGTGAGATGGGGAGAGCCCAGATATGGAAAAATCATATGGGATGACTGGGCTCAAGCAGGGGATACATGAATACAGGTTGACTGAAGGTCAAGTCAGTTGAGTTGGGATTCCTAGGATTACTAGCCCCAAGAGTTGAGGGCATTGTGCTGTAGGCAGGAAAAGAACCTATTTGTAAAGTGAAAATGCATGTGGGATTCTACCCCCACTTCTGCAACAATAGCTGTAAGTTCAGCTAGTGATGCAGAGAAGGCATAGGCGCGTTTGAGTCGAGGACTCCTCTGCAGTGACTGCAGTTCCCTCAGCACTGCAGGAAATCTAAGTTAGTCATCAATAAACCCATCAGGGGTCAATAAAACCTAAAGAAGGACCCAGCACCCTGGCCAGCTGACTGGGGGTCAGCTGGCTGGTGGTGACGTGTACCCAGGCAGAACAGTCCTGCCAAAGGGAGCTTCTGGAGTTCTCAACTCTGCTCACTCCCGGTTTGGTTTTTTTCCCCCCTAGGAGCATATGGTGGCCTCTCAGACCGCCCCTCGGCATCCATCTCCCCCAGTTCTGCCTCCATTGCTGCCTCCCATTTTGACTCAATGGAACTACTTCCCCCAGAGTTGCCCCCCCGAATGCCCATTGAAGAGGGACCCCCAGCGGGGGCGGTTCATCCCCTCTCAGCCCCTTACCCACCCCTGGACACTCCGGAGACAGCCACAGGTACCAGAGGTGTGAGTGTGTGTCTGCCTCCAGGCCCAGCTGCCTGCCTCCCTGAAGCTATCTTGGCCTCCTGAGGCACCTGCCTGGGGGGCGGGGGGGTAGGGGTGGGAGTGACACACGAGGGGAAAGCAAGACTTTTCTTCCCCCAGGATGGGGGAGGCATCCCTGATCCCAGTTTCCCTCCCTCTCTCCTTCCTGAAGGGTCATTCCTGTTCCAGGGGGAGTCGGAGGGAGGTGAGGGGGACCAGCCCCTCTCAGGGTATCCTTGGTTCCACGGGATGCTCTCTCGACTCAAGGCTGCCCAGCTAGTGCTGGCGGGAGGTGCTGGCTCCCACGGTGTCTTCCTGGTACGACAGAGTGAGACAAGGCGGGGCGAGTATGTCCTCACTTTCAACTTCCAGGGCAAGGCTAAGGTGAGTGACTAGAACAAGGCTGTGTTCCATGCAGCGAGCTTGCAGGCGGCGCGGGCACACTGCTGTCGGGGAGAGCGCTCTGTAACTGGCAGGGGCTTAGACTCCCGCTTCACCTGGCTCCTCCTACCCTCAGCACCTGCGTTTGTCGCTGAATGAGGAGGGTCAGTGCCGGGTCCAGCACCTGTGGTTCCAGTCCATTTTCGATATGCTCGAGCATTTCCGGGTGCACCCCATCCCTCTGGAGTCTGGAGGCCCCAGTGACGTTGTCCTTGTCAGCTATGTCGTATCCTCCCAGCGACAGCAGGGTGAGCAGAGCAGGTCTGCAGGGGAGGAGGTGCCCGTGCACCCAAGAAGTGAGGAGGTGTGTGTGCCAGAAAGATGGGGTGGGGGGCTGTGAGGAGGAAAGTGCTGTTAGGGGAGCAGGGTGGAGAAGGCCCCAGAGCGTTGGGGTTTTGGAGGGAAGAAGCACACTGAGAGGATGTAGGCAGGCAGAGGGCTCCTGGGGGAGCCAGGGAGGAAGCTAAGTCGGGCGGGTCATCCCCATTCCATCCAGCTCCTCTGTGCCATCATTTGTCTGTCTCCTAGGCCCATCCTCCCTGCCTTGTCTTTGCCCTTCTTCACATCCTTGCCTTTGGCCTGCCCTTCTTGGGGACACTCGGGCTGATCCCCTTCCTCCCCCCCATGTCTGATGTCCCTGTCTGATCTCTCCCTTTTCCCCACCCCAACGTCCCATCTGTCCCCACATTGCCCCTCCCCCCCAGGCCGGGAGCAGGCCGGGAGCCATGCAGGGGTGTGCGAGGGAGATCGATGCTACCCCGATGCCTCCTCCACCCTCATGCCCTTCGGAGCGAGTGACTGTGTGTAAGTGTGGTCCTCCTCTCACTGCCGCCCATGATCCATCTTCCATGGATGGGGGGTTGTCAGGAGATGGGACGTGGGGGAGATAGCACATGGCTCCTGGGGGGATGAGCGAAGGGAAGGCCGCTGCAGGAGCTTGCCTCCATCCACAATCAGTCTGTCTTCTTACCATTCCTGTCTAGAACCGAACACCTCCCATGACCTACCCCAGCCCCCTGAACCCCCTTCATGGACAGATCCCCCACAACCTGGGGCAGAAGAGGCGTCGGGGGCGCCAGAAGTGGCGGCAGCAACCGCCGCAGCAGCCAAAGAGAGGCAAGAGAAAGAGAAAGCGGGCAGTGGAGGGGTCCAGGAAGAGCTGGTCCCCGTGGTTGAGCTGGTCCCCGTGGTTGAATTGGAAGAGGCCATAGCACCTGGCACGGAGGCCCAGGGAGTCTCTGGATCTGGTGGGGATCCTGGGGTGACCCTGATGGTGCAGCTCCAGCAGTTGCCACTAGGGGGCGATGGAGAAGAAGGGGGCCATCCCAGAGCCATTAATAACCAGTACTCCTTCGTGTGAGGCACCCCATCCCACTCTTTCTCCACTCTTCTTGCTCCCCAGCCCTCGGTTGGTGAGATTGGGACTGGGTAAGGACAAAGAGGAGCAGTAGGAATCCCCTCCCACATGCTTCCTGACCCTTGAAGGCCAAGGGCATGTATGATGGTACAAGAAAAGGTTGACGAGCCCTGTTAACTCCCCAGTTCATACACTACAGGTGCCCTGTCCCCTAGGCAGGGGATTCGGGCTCCATTACCTCCCTAAGGGGCTCTATGATCAGCCCCACCCCTGGGGGCCATTTCCCCATTAACCACCCCTCCCCAGCCCAAGGAAGGGTGCAGGGGAAGGGCTGTCAGTTATATTAAGGTGGTTGTTGTTGTTGTTTTAAACAAAATGGAGACGCATAAATAAAAGGATTTATCTCAGTTCCATCGTGATGGCTGTGGCCAGTGTTTGCGGTGGGGGCTGGGCCAGGCGGGTCAGGAAAGCAGCCCACTCAGTGTTGTCAGCGCCAGAGCTACGAGGCTGGGAAGCAGGGTCAGGTCGAGTCCCTGTTGCTCTCCAGCCTTGTGCTTCCAGCCCCCGCTCCTCACGGGCTGTGATGGTGGTCGAGCCGTAAGTGCAGAGCCGAAACCCTCTTCTCAGGGTCTCTGGGCAACTTCCCTTAATGGGACAGGATGGTGAACAGCGGGGTTGCCAGTCTTCAGGGGCCTTTCCTGCTGTGGAGTCTCTGGTTAAGGCTTCCTACCCTAGGGAGAAAGCAGGCAGGGAGACCGCCGGGAGTGGGCGGCAGGGCCATGGCGTCTGTGTGGGGAGAGGGCCCAGGGCAGGCTGACAGCCCCTCAAGGCCCAGCGGGGGATGGAAGGCAAAGAGCACCTGGCTTTGCCTGTTATTTACTCTGTTACCTGGGCAAGGTGTAGCATTCCCCGACTCAGGATACCGCGTGGGGACACATCTGTGAAACAGGAGTCACATCTGGGTCGGAGCTGCTGACGTGATTGGCCTGGCCTGGATGATGTTTCCACTGGAGTTCACAGATTACCGGCTTCTCTTGAAATCAGAAGATCCAGCCTCACGGAGTTCATCTTCCACGTTGCCTTCTTTCCACCCACCTAAAAAGTCACATGACTTCTTGGCCCCTGTGGGCATTTGAGTTTGCAGCGCTCTGGCTCCTCCTCAGGGCCCTCCGTTAAGCCCAGGCTCCACCCTCTGAACTGAACTGTGATTTTGCTCTCCAACAGAGGGCACCCCTGGACTTCCCAGCTCTGGGGTGGTGGGTACCAACTAGGAGGGATGGGGTACTGAAGAATCCTACTTAAATTGCTTGGCCCGCTCACCTCTATCCAGCTCTGCCTCTTACCATCCTGCCTTTTGCTTTCCTTCCCAGGTGCCCCCCAGCCACTGCCCCCACTTCCAGGAGGCCCTACCCACGCTTATGACCTTGCTATTCTGGGCTTTGTGTCCTATTGGGAGATGGACAGGAGACAGCTGGGCTCACAGGCCACCCAGGCTGAGGTAGAGTGGGGGAGTCTGCTGGCTCTCCCTGTTTTAGATGATCCCCGGGGCTCCCCTAAACCTTGGCCTCTGGAATCTGGGGATAGAGTTGGCCTTGAAAAGGGAGGAATGGTTTGGGGATCTGGGTGCTGCGTTCTTAAAGTGAGGGCAGTAAAGGCTGTGGTATCTGTCTCCCTCCTTACTCACACCCCCCCACTCCCCAGTTAGCAGGACCTGATCCTCCTCCTCTGGCAGGTCCTGGTGCTGTGAGGCTTCCCCCTTCCCTGAAACCCTGCCAGCTTGCCAGCTTTCAGGGACCTGCCTTCTGAAGATGGGTTGGGGAGAGGTATACAGGGATACCCCCCTACCCCACCAAGATTTGCATGTTGAGACACCTAAGAGCCTCTAGCCATTTGCATGGCTAGAGACACCTAAGAGACTTTCCTTCTAAGTCTTTCTCAATGGGTGGTTGAACTGAAGTTTGAAATTGGCCAGGGACTGGCCTGGCTCTGCATTGATGTCCTTCAGAACGTGGCTCCCACACAGCCCTCATAGGAGAGAAGAAAATCTTCCAGCTCTGAACTTAGAGCTTAGAGACCCTGGGTGGGAGATAGTCAGCTTCATTAGGCAGCCTTCATCCCTGATGGCGATTCTTTGGCAGCCCTTGGCTGGGGCCCTTCCCTCTCTGGCTTCAGTCCCCCTCTGGGAAGCTGGGGGTGGTAGAGATGGAGAACCTTAAAGGGCCCTGCTGGCAGCAGTGGCCTGTAAAGCCTCCTTTCCTGGGTCTCTTGCTCGCAACTTCCTTGAAGCTGTGATCTCTGCAGTCTCTCCTCCATGTATGGGCATTCCTGCTCCTTTAAGACAGTGCCCCTGTCACTCCTCCAGGTGGTGGTGGGGAGAAGCCAGCCAGCCCCCAAAAGCTTGGCACATGCTATGCCTGGCTCTGGCCTGAGAAGGTGGGTGCTAGACCAGGTGGAGGTGCCTGTTGACATGACCTGGACACATCCCATTGTCTGACCGCCCCCCTCCCACTAATGGGTCACAGCAGGATTCTGCTTCAGGGGAGGGGTTTGGGAACCCTGTAAAGGGGGGGAAGGGAGGGAGGGGAGGAGCACCGTGTCCTTAACTCACCCTGGAGGCTGCCCCTCCCCCAAGCTCAGGGAGTAGAAGGGGTGAGTATGAGGGGAGCTAAATCCTTAAGTGCCACCCACCCCATCCCTGTTGACCTACCCACTCCCCAAAAGTGGGGTTTCCCTTTCTTTTGCCTGCCCTCTTCTGTGTCTCTCATCATTCAGGGAGCAGGCCGAGATGGAGTTAGGGCTGGAGGACAGGGTCAAAATGTGCTTCCCCTCACTGACCTTTCCCAGGATTCTCCATGAGCCTCTCGGCCCTCCTTGCCTCCCCTACCCACACCCTGTCTACCCTGTCTGCTCCTCCAGCAGCTGCCCTGATAGGAACCAAAAGGCCCTCATCCCCAAGCAGGGGTGGGGCCGGGGGGTGGGGGGCTCAGAGCAGCTGCTTCTCTGAGGAAGCTGACGCCAAGGCCAGCCGCTCAGCAACAACTTGTGGCTTTGCACCCAGCCCTGGCCCCGCCCCCACCCCCTGGCTGCTCCCCCCCACCTCTGGGCTACCCCTTTTCCCACTGCACCTCAGACCCCCTCCTCTAACTCTGCAGCCCCCTCTGCTCCCCCGGCTCTGGCTCTGTTCTGTCCTTTCCCCTAGACCTGCTGTGCCCATTCCTTGGGGCTGCAGCCTCTGCCTTATCCAGTGCCCCCAGGCCCCTCTCCTTGTGCCCTTCCGCTTGTCTCTTCCAGTGGGGTTGAGCACACAACTGCACACCTCTGTACCCTTGACAGATACTCGGGACCAGAGTGCATTGCAAACCACACACCACCTCTGTAAACCCTGGGTTAAAGAGCACAGTGTGGGGTGAGGTGACCCTCAATACATGACTTGGGGTGACCCTACCCCCATCCTGAGACATCTCTCCCTCTCTGCCATCAGCACATTCTGTAGCCTCTTGGGTTACCCAACTGCCTGGGTATCCCATTTTCTTGTAGGGGGGGGGGATTCCCTGTCGGGGATGGGGGAACCCTGAAGGCCATGTTCTCAGAGGCTCAGTTAGAGCGATGATGGGGGGGGAGTTTAGGGGAGAGACAGGCAGTCCTGGCTTTGATCACAGGGCCTGGACACTAAATCCCTTGTTGATGGCTGTGGCAACCCCTCCCAAGGGTAGAGTTACCATCTTCTGCCCTGTCCCTTTGACCCTCTCGCTCCCTACTTCCCCTTGTTCCTCTAGAGCCACTTCCTCTGGCCCTCAAAGGATGTCCTTCTTCTCTTCGATCCCCTAAAAGTTGGAGTATCTCTGCTACCTTTTCTGTAAAGTAGGTGAGGAGGAAGGAGAACTGTGGCAATAGAAACGGGGTCAGGTTGGGCGAACTGGGAAGAGGTGCCAGGGGAGTGAATGTGAAGGTCTGAGAGGAGTCAGTTCAGGGAAAGAACAGGAATAGGAAATTAAGTGTAACTGAGGAAGTCGAGGCAGTTGGGGGAGGAGTCATAGCAGAAGACAGAAAGCAGTGTCTTTCCCTGCCCCCCTCCCCTGGGGCTGGAGCCACCTTAGCTCCCTCGTGAGTGACATCTCAGGCTGCAGCCCCACTGTTCCCCCTCTGTCAGCAGAAATATCTCTCTCCTGACCCCTCCTGCTGGAGTCTCAGCCAGCCAATCCCTGACCTGGGGGAGGGGGGAGCCTGGCCTCCCCTACTCCCTCATAAGGACCTGCTGGGGGCTGGGGGGGTGGCCGGCTGCTGCAAGTGGGACGGGGGTCAGAGCTTCGTGGAGGGAAGAAAAACCTGGGGGGGTAGGAGAGAAAAGGAAGAAACAGACAAACAGGCAGGTGGACACACTGAGGAAGGCCCCCCACGTGTGAGAGTCCCCCTAGAAGGAACACACCTCCCCCTGGCCCCCAGGAAGGGAGCACAATGGAGGCCGCACACTCCAAGACCACAGAGGAATGTTTGGCCCATTTTGGGGTAAGCGAGACAACAGGCCTCACCCCGGACCAAGTTAAGCGGCATCTGGAGAAATACGGCCCCAATGGTGAGTGTCCCTTGGAGGAGACTGGCAGGGCCCTCTCATAGCACTGTAGCGCACACACATGCACACACGCAGATGCACACAGGGGCGCTCCCTCCAGAGTACCCCAGGGAGGAAGTGGCTCATGCTACAGATTGCAGGGGAGGGGAGGGCCCTGAGACTCAGAGTTTGGGGAGGCTTTATGGGATGACCTTGGTGAACCTCAGGTGCCCTTTTGGTGGCCTGGTGCCCTTACTTTAGGCATAAGTCCTGGTGGTGGTGGTGGGGTAGTATTAGAATGAACCCCAAATGAATGTGTCCTTTTCTTCTTTTTCCCTGGGTAGAGCTCCCGGCTGAGGAAGGTAAGTTACTGGACTCCCTGAGTTCTCATCAATGACCCCGTCTCCTCTGTACCCCACTCCCTTCTCCCTACGACTCCCAGGACAAACGGCCCTCCCCACAGGTTAGAGTCTGGCTGGGGGCAGAAGTTTCCAGGCACTTTCTCTTTGCGATATCCAGCCCTTGAACAACTGCCCATCACTTTGGGAGCCTGTTTTTGACTCCTGGCAAGTTCCCTCCACCCTTCTGTCGGTATCAAGGTGCCTATCACCCCATTCCCGCTCTAGGCTGGAGTCCCACACGTTCATCCTCTAGACCTTAATCCTAGGGGGCCCTCTGCTTGCCTCTTCCCCCAGGGAAGTCCCTGTGGGAGTTGGTGGTAGAGCAGTTTGAAGACCTCCTGGTGCGGATCCTTCTCCTGGCCGCCTGCATTTCCTTCGTAAGTGCGGAAAGGCATCCTGGGGTTTGGCTGGGGGTGTAGTTTGTGGGGATCTGGAGAGTCTGCTGGGGGCTGGGGGTGTTGGACTCATCAGTCCTCTAGCCCCAAAATCCTCCACTACAGACCATAACTGAGGGAGCTAGGGGGCCGCTGAACTGCGTCCTCCGCCACCCTCCCCCCACACCCTGCAAGCAGGTTTTATTTTAAGCTTTAAGGGCGTTCTCAGCCAAAACACTGAAGCTAAGCCTCCCCCGCAACTTCAAGGGCTTTGAGGGCTCAGCCTGGGCTGCTGCTCCCGGGCCACCACTATTCCCGGCATGCCCTGGGGCACAGGCTGCGCTCCGCCAATCCCCGAGCCTCCTGGCCCCCCGGCCCCGCCCTCCCGACGCTGATTGGCTCAGAGAGAGACTCCCTCCCGGAGGCGGCAAAGAGCTGCGGGTGTGAGGGCGACTCCCAGCCGCTCGGCCCAGTCCTCTCAGACCCGCCACCCCACCCCGCCCCCATTCGGGCGTGGAACTCATGGGGTCTCCCGCCTCACCCCCTGCTGACCTGCCTCCTTCCCCAGGCCCCTCACAGCCTGAGGGCTGCCCCCACCCCTTCCTCAAGGCCCTGCCACCTCCTCTGTCTGGGGCATTTTGGGGTGGCTCTCTTAGCACTTCAGTGCTGCGCCACGACCACTGGAGGCAAAAAATCCTCCAGCTGGCCCCTGAGTACTAACTGGCTGGACCGCACTTCCCCCTTCTCAGATTTGCTCCTTGACATTTGCCTTTGGCTGTTGCCTGGCAGTGGCAACAGCTGGGGTGGGGTGTGTACAGGAGGCCCCGTAACACTATCCCGCCTCTCCTGCTCCTGCATGAAATTGGAGCTTCCCAGCCTTGGGCTGTGGGGGAGGGCTATGGGTGGGCCAGCGCTGTGAGGACCACAGGGTTCTTCCTATTGAATTTTGGCTCCCCAAGATGGATGCAGCCATGGGGGTAGTTGGCCTGGGTATTCCCTGAACTTTGTTTACAAGCCAACCACTTGGCCAGGGAAACCTGAAAGCATTCCCAGCTAATTCCCGAGTTGTGCCTGCCTGTGCCCACCTGTTCCCACTGAAAAAGAGCAGCGCCTGGAGCGTGTAGCACCTCACCGAAGGGGTTGCAGAACCCCCATGATGCCCTGTACCTTTTCTGTACTCTTGTTCTCTCCACCACTTCCATTTTTACCACAGGGGGTTTCTTACCTGTTATTCTCCTTCCCAGGTGTTGGCCTGGTTTGAGGAAGGCGAAGAGACCATCACTGCCTTTGTCGAACCCTTTGTCATCCTGTTGATCCTCATTGCCAACGCCATCGTGGGAGTTTGGCAGGTTTGCGCAGGCCCAGCCTCACTCCTTCACATCCCAGCGCTGAACACGAGGCCAACCTCCCGCTGCCTCTCCCTCTCCTCCTCCGTCACTTCCCCTGGACTTGCCTTGTTCCCTAGTCCTATTGCCCAGTTTGAAAAAGGGACAGAGTGCTGGAGGTGGGAGGCCTGCGTTCCCACTGTCAGA